AGTGCGAGCATGCCTGCCTTCACAGTCATTAAGCAACAAAACTCAGTTTCATTATTTTAGTCTGGCAATAGGGAACTCGTTTAAATAAAACCAGTTAGTCATAACCTCTTAGAGCAGCTCAGGCACATTCCTTTAAAATGACTTTTGACGTAAAATTACTTTTCAGCAATTGCCGAAATCAGGTTTCTTTCACCAGGAGTTCTTTCATTAAAAAAGGTTCACTTGCTTTGATTTAATGACCAATTCAGTGACGTATTCAGATTTTGTACCAAAAAATGGCCCTGGCATGATGGGTTTACCCCCTCCGTAGATAAAGAGTTAAGCAGCAAAACTCAGTTTCATTATTTTAGTCAGGCAATACGGAACTCATTTAAATAAAACCAGTTAGTCACAATCTCTTAGAAAAAAAACTTTCCTTCTCCGCTGTCCTTAACACAATAGAGTTGCATACCTGGTGCATCATCATATCCAAACACTTTAAGCGGTCGAACAATTGTGATTCCTGGAGAGTCCATGGGTACCAGGATCATAGACTGCTGGCGATGCTTAGCTGCACCTTTGTTTGTCTTGCCCATGAAGATACAGATCTTGCAACGAGGATCAAGAGCTCCTACAGAGAAATCAGTTTTTAACTTTATTTTATTTGAAAAGCAAATTTCATCATATAAAGTATAGAGAGGTACACATGTGTCAGGACGCGGTGGAATCAGGCGCTCGTCAATTTTTTTACATAAGAAGTTATTGGTATATTCTTATAGCCTATTCATTTGCCTGGCTCTCTGCGAAAGAATTACCCATCTATCTTGAATACAAGTCGAGTTGTTTGCATTTAAATGAGGTAGAGGTCGCCCAGTAGAAGAGGCAAAATTAACGAGAAAATGGCCGTCAAAGTTTAACAATTTCCAAAGCTTGAGAGACTTTGGAAACTGCAAGAGTAGATTTTCATACTTTAGCCAAAATTGTAAAAGTAAAATCAACACGGAAATGTGTTTTTAATGGACATAAACTATGTTGAGTCAAAAAACAAAAATTCAATAAAACTTGCCAAACTGAAAGAAAAATGCCATTTTCTTCATATTCATTATTTGATGAGCGCCTGATTTCACCACGCTGCTTCACATAATATGTGCATGTACTGATAATTTAAAAATATATGAATACACATATGAAACATAAAGTACAGAAAAGTCAAAACAGGACTGAAAGACTTCTAAGCATGTATTCATTTTCGTTAACTCAAAAGCCAGGCCCAACCAAAGTACAAAAGAGGAGATCTGAATAGAGTAAAAAGTTGTGACCATAAATAGGCAGGAAAAGTTCTAGAATTTTGTGAGGATAACTGAAAATCTACACAGCTGCATTTATGAACAGGTTAATAGACAAAACTAATATATAGGGTTGAACAGGAAACAAAGGCTGATAATGCCCACCATCTGACTCATCTGACAAAACAACAGGTCTCTTTATCTAAACTTTCATATGGCTTCACTTGTGACCAGTAAGTGCAATTTTTCTTTTGCCGAATTTTCCACAAACACAGCATTTGCGGTTTGTTGTTTACAAGGTAAACGTCAGGATTTGACTCTTCATTTCCTTGCTTCTCCGGCTGCAAAACTGTTTTTTCAAAAGCCTTACAGTCACATGACAAAACTTTATGCCAAATGTGACCTGTCAAGACAGAGTGTTTCCCACTCATCCACATGAACACAGCAATCTTTCAGGTTGACCTTGCTGGTGTTGAAGTGAAATAAACTCAGACTAACCTGATGTCCACCATTTGTGCCCGTTGATGATATAGGAATCTCCATCTCTGCTGATCGAGGACTCAATATTTGTGGCATCTGACGAGGCAACCTGTCAAGATGACAGGAGATAAAATAGTATTTGAGCCCTCAATAGAGACAGAATCATAACAGTAGAATCACATGCATAAAAACACCTTTAAATACGGGGGCGGGGGGATTTAAGTTTTAAGGAGAATTGGACGAGAAAAAAGAATTTTCCTAATCGTCGAGGCATATTTCAAAAACCATAGACACAACTTTTGATCTATTTCTTAATAACTCACATGCCCACACAAAAAACTTTTCTACATCCATCATGCAGCATGCTCAGTCAAAGAAAAGCAAGATCTTTCCCTTCAATTACCATACCTCTCCACAAATTCTTCCACAGTAGAGTACCAGTATCTCTGTTATACATTCATAGACAAAAGAAACACACACAACCAAACACATACAAACAGAACCTTAAAAATACACTCTCAAATACACACACACATCCACACACACACACATCCACACACCCACACCCATACCCACACAAACACACACACACACACACACACACACACAATCCACACACACATCCACACACACATCCACACACACATCCACACACCCACACCCACACACACACACACCCACACACACACACACACACACACACACACATATATACAGGCACTTTCATTCACACCCTCCCCCACACACACCCACAC